ACTCACTCTGAATGTCAGATTTGATCACGTTATCGCGTCTGGTAACAATACCTTAACTGGCGTGACCCCCCCCTCTCGCGTCTGGTAGACAGAAAGCTGTTGACCGTTTTCTGTACCACAGACTGTACCCAGGGGAGGCCACACCTAGTCTGTATGGTTTACCTAAAATCCACAAACAGGGTGTACCTTTAAGACCAATTGTTAGTATGATTAACTCTGTCACTTACAATGTTTCCAAATATCTGGCGTCTGTACTCATCCCTTTAGTTGGCAGCTCAGAACACCACATACAGAACACCATGGACTTTGTGGATAAGGTGAGGGATGTCATCATGGAGACTGATGAAACAAGGGTCTCTTTTGATGTCACATCACTCTTTACGTGCATTCCTGTTGATGATGCAGTAAAGGTGGTCAGTTTACAATTAAAATCAGACACTACTCTGAGCAGCAGGACCACGCTTTCCACAGAACAACTGTGTCAACTCTTGAAACTGTGCCTACAGTCAACCTACTTCACATATGGGGAGCAATATTATAGGCAGAAACATGGGTGTGCTATGTGGTCTCCAGTTTCTCCTATTGTTGCCAACCTGTACATGGAGGAGGTAGAAAAGAGAGCCTTGACGTCCTTTTCAGGGACACCACCAAGTCATTGGTTCAGGTATGTTGACGACACCTGGGTTAAAATTAAATCTCAGGAAGTCCAACATTTCACTGACCATATCAACTCTGTGGATAAATACATCAAGTTCACATGAGAAGATGTAAAAAATGGCAGGTTGGCTTTTTTGGACTGTGAGGTCTCAGTCGCTGATAGAGGACATTTGCAAACTGAGGTGTACCGCAAACCCACCCACACAGACCAGTATTTGCAGTTTGACTCCCATCACCCTTTGGAGCACAAGTTAGGAGTCATCAGGACTCTGTATCACAGAGCAGACAGCGTCCCCACTAGCTCAGGAGCCAGGCAGAAGGAGAAATCCCACACAAGACAGGCTCTAGAGCAATGTGGATATCCTAACTGGGCCTTCCTGAAAGCAGAGAAGAAACCCAAACAGGACTCCAGTCAGCCAACAGTTGAAAAGGAGGAACCCAGACCCAGACCAGTGGTCATTCCATATGTTGAGGGAGTATCAGAGAAACTGAGACGTTTATTTTCTAAACATAACGTCCCAGTGGCTTTTAAACCCCAAAATACATTACGGCAAAGACTGGTTCATCCCAAAGATCCAGTCCCCCGGCATAAACAGAGCAATGTTGTGTATGCTGTTCAGTGTCAGGAGGGCTGTGATCAGTCTTACATCGGGGAAACAAAACAGCCACTGGCCAAAAGGATGGCCCAGCACAGAAGATCAACATCATCAGGCCAGGACTCTGCGGTCTACACTCATCTCCAGGCCAGCGGCCACTCTTTCAGGGATGAAGATGTGCACATCCTGGATAGAGAGGAACGATGGTTTGAGAGAGGAGTAAAGGAGGCCATCTTTGTGAAAAGAAATTGTCCATCGTTAAACAGGCGTGGAGGCCTCCGGGTTCAACTGTCCCCCTCTTACAATGCTGTGATTGCTAGTATCACTCAGCCCTCTGTGAACAGTAAACAGCCATCAGTGTGCTAATGATCCATTGTTAGGTTGAGCATGTGATCAGCTGGTTTTGGTTGTCAGCAGCAAAACTGGTTGATCCACTCTGAGACAGTGCTATTTAAGAGACTGAGCTGAATACAGCTCCTCAGACTGAGGAGGTCTCTCGGATGAGAGACGAAAAGTTTCTACATTTTTTTGTTGATTTGCTTTGTTCTATTTTTTTTTTTTGAATGTCCAGAGGACCAGATTTAATTTTTTTTAGATTTTTCTACCTGGATTATTGAGCATGCATCAGGATATTAATCAATCAATGTTGAAGACTTTATAGAGCTTAAATTAAGAGATTATAGGGAAAGCTTATATTGAAAATGA